ACATCTTTCTATTGTACTCCTTTCTCTATTTTTCTTCCTCTTCACCAATACTATCATCACTCATGGCCATAACATTACTCACATACTTGCCAACCATCCATCTTTCTCCATCTTCAACTAATACCTTACCCCGAAGCACCTCGCCCGAGAAATTAACCAGCTCGATGTGAAAGAGTATACAAACTATCCCTTAAAATGGCAATTATTTTCTAATAAGCTTAACCCTCTTGAAGCTAGCTACCAAAATTAGAAGTTAAATTTCTTCTAATTTTGTTTTCATGGAAATTGGGTTTAGAGAGACCAAGAACAAGAGTAAAAATTCAAAGAATTTTATGGGGGATAGTTGCTGTATTTTTTGGGAAAATTTTAGGTTTTTGTTCATCCGTTCTTCATTTCGGGTAGGGGTTTTGATGTTCTTCAAATTTTTTTGGTTTCTGTTTTAGGTCTTCCGAGGCTTTCAATTCAATTCTCGGTTCCCTAGCTTTAGATTATTATTATTATTATTCTCTTTTCTTTAAAATTTTTGGGTTGCCGTTTATAGGTTCTCCATATTCTAGGTTTTAGTTCTTCACTTTTGGGTTTCATTTACTTTTTAGGTTTCATTCAAACTCTCTAGTCGGTTATTTTCCCATTTTTCCAAGCTTGCCTACCATTTACTTTCCGGGTTCTCATGAACACTCGGGTTTTGTTTTAAGTTGTTGGGTTTTATTTCAATCTTCGTAGCTTTGGGAAACACTCAAATCACCATATAACTACCCATAATCCCTAAATCATTCAATCAAAATAGAGAACAAGATCCACTAGCACATGTTAACGAGCAAGCATGTCAATCTGACAGTGGAGGCAGTGTAGAAATTTGTCTATACCTCCATGTCCCGTTGTAAATACCATCATCTCCTAAACAAACATCTCATATAAAAGTAAAGAAAATTCTACCAAGCACTAGAGGAATCAACAACCCAAACCATTTTTTATTCTTCTCATATTCTTCCAAAAGATCCAAGCAACAAATAAGAGAGAGAGAGAAGGATTTCAGAATCATGGGTCTTGACGCACCACTCTTTAACGCTTTCCAACATATGATGGATAGAAACGATCATGAGGCAATTGGGTTTTCGGAATCATGGGAAGGATATGCATCCTAACCCCTTTGTTATTTTGTCCTCCTCCTCCTAACAAATTTTGCTATGTTTGACATCATTAGGTTTTCGGACACCATACTAGAAGCTAATTTAGGTTTATCAAAATTGAGTTTTACAACACAATTAGATAAATAGGTAAACTAGGCAAATCTTGATTACTCGTTTGGTGTTCTTAGTGATAGGATCAATAAAAGCCTCTTTATGGTCATGAAATAAAGCTAAAATAGCTCTAAACATAATATTTGGTCCTAATCTCTCTCAACCAAAACTTATATATATATATAAACAATGAAACCAATAGGATAAACAAAGATATGACCTTAATTTAACTAAAACCCGAAACCAAAACATATCAATCTATAAAAAGAATCAACCTTTCTCTAAAAAAATATACAAAAGAAAAAACAATCAAGATATCAATAGAAACAAAAGGAAATCATCTACAATGAAATAAAAGAAAAATTACTTGTGATGGGATTAGACCTCGACGTCTCGGATTCTTAATAGTTTGTTGATGATGATAGGATAAAAGCACCGATAATGTAGAATGTCTTTTTTCTTTCACCAATGGGAGTAGTAGAGATTGTTTTTCGGTTAGTTTGTATAACTAAAGTTATAAAAATATATGAGGGCTATATAGTCATATTTAAAAAGATTTAAAAATCTTTCGACCGAGCGTGTTAATAAAAAAGTAATAAGTTAAAAATTTTAACTTACTTGATTAAGTAGATTTTGACTCGAACTTAAACTTTTAATATGAGATTATTTAGGTTATCAAACAAACTTGTTATATTAAATACTATAAATTAATTTTTTAAGCTACTTAATTAGGTTATCAAACACCCCCTAAATTTTATGTTTTATATTTTTTGCATTTGTTGACTAACTATCATGGTCCGTCTTGTTTTTAACCTCGTTTATCTATGTTTTTTCCTCAAGTCTTCCGATTTGTTCATTTGTTTGATGGGGATATTAATGCTTCTATAGGGATTTTTTTGGCGAAGCTAATTGGACAAGAACTTCCATTTATTCTTGTTGGAGGATATGGTATGTATTTTTTTTTTTTTTTTTTTTGACATCTTAAGAACTATTAAGAACTTATCAAATTATGGATCTTCCCTCAATTCTACTCTATGCGATTGGATCAAGAACAAAATGTAACCTTTTAGGCTTTTGTCTCTATAGGTTAGAGTATGTTGGTAGGCTTCAGTGTCGAGCCATGCTTGTTTACTACACCTACTCGCTTGTTTCCTTTCTCGTTCTCTTTATATTGTCATTTTCCTGTTTCATTGCTTTAACTCGTTGTGCTTGATCTTTGATTTTATATATATATTTATGGAAATGTTTACTCGCCTTTTCTTTTTATCAAATAATTTCTGGATCCATCCTATTTTGATTAGTGTATTTCGAGTAATAACTTCTTTTAGTCCTAATATATATATATATATATATATATATATATATATATATATATATAATGTTTACTCGCCTTTTCTTTTTGTCAAATGGTTTTTGGATCCATCCTGTTTTGATTCGTGTACTTTAATACTAACTTCTTTTTGTCCTAAAATGGCACGTTGTCTAGTGTTGTGAACTATTGAAATTTGAAGGGCAACTACAAGATTGACACTTTAGTCTCTTGTTATGCTTTTTTAAATTTGAACTTTAGTCTCCTAAATTTACATAGTAGGAACGTTGAACTTTTTTCCAAACATTGGTATTTTGTTGTGATTTTTAATTTATTTTGGATATTTAAATTATTATTTTTCTTGTAATAGATTAATTAATATTTAAAATTGGGTTAAGAGACTACTTGGATTAAATAAAACTATTGTGTTATACATGGAAAGAGCTAGCTTACATATAAAAAAACCATTAGATTAGAACAAATTAATCATTGCCTAATACAATAGAAAAGCTACTACAAATGATTTAAAAACCATTGCATAATATATTATATAAATCGTTGGCTTATCCGATAAAAACTGTTGTGTAAAATAGTTATAAAACCATAGCATCAATGGTGGTAATCGTTGCATAAAATTTGACTTAAACCGATGGCTTATGATACTCAAAACTCGCTGCCTAAAGTATAAAGTAACCGTTACATTTTGAGGACACGATGCAAAAAAAAAACAAAAAAAACAAAAAAAACAAAAACACTTGTGCATTGTTAATGTACATAAAAATAATTACATTAATCTATTGTAGTACCAATTAGATGTAGCAGTTGGTAAATCGTTGCATTATGTGTGATGTAGCTGTTTTCAATTATTTATGACTATTTGCAGCCGCTGAGTAAAGTTTGATATATGGTAGTGCTTCCTTAGCGAGATGTATTCTGAAGAATGATTTTGACATCTCATTACACGGTTTTTCTTACCACCTTGGAGTTTGTTCAATCTTGTGCTGAACTTTGGGGCTTTCTTATCGGATTGCAAATGGCTTGGGTTGCAGAATATAAAAAAGTTCAAATGTAAGCTGATTCAGAAGTAGCCATCGATTTATTGTCCTCTTGTGCCAACCACTATGGTGCTTACAATCACATTGTGTATACAATTTGTGAACTACTTCAGAGACCATGGCAGGTTCAGATCACACATATCTATAAAGAGGCAAATCCAATAATAGATTGACTTGCTTCTCACGCTTACTCACTTTTGCTAGGTTTTTTTATATTTATTATTCTATTTCTCTGATCGGTTGTATCTGACTCTTTGTTAGAGGATATTTGTAGAGTTGCCATTCGGATACTTTGTAACCCCAATTTTTTTGCCCAGAAATATGCAATCTTCCTTGAATAGAATAATAATAATAGCAATAAATAAATAAATAAGATAAAAAAATTTTTAAAGAAACTAAAAAATTATTTGAATTAAACTACTAAAAATGACAGCAATCAGCTGCTATCTAACCATGCCAATAAGCTTCTACTAATATGAATATAACAGCTCATGCTTCAATAAATTACTTTGTGAAGTCGGCTTAAGAAGCCAGTAAATAGACAATTGTAGTTCATCATAAAATAAAAATCTACTCATTAAGTGTACTTCATAGTCCATTTAAAATTCAAATTTAAGCTTCCGCATAATATATTAGTGGAACCAAAAACCCATCAAGAGATCCAAACTAATACAGAATTAAGAGAGCTAATTTTTCCTTCTGAAAGCGAAGGAGCTAATTTCACCGATGTAATCATTTTCGTTTTAGTAAAAATAAAAAATCATAGAATGTGTGGAATTTAAATTTTGAAACAAATGGTTATGAAAAAAGGAAAAAAGAAAAAAGAAAATTTGTTAAGAGAACAAGCAAAATATACTCGGTAGAAAAATCAATAGAAATGGTGAAAAAGAACAAGATAGAGCAAAGTAAAACTTTTTGCCCTTTACCTCGGTCATAATATAAGAGCCCCTACAATATTTTTCCGTCAACAAAATGTATTTGTTGCAATCACGGCTTGACATTTAAAGAAACTACTTTTTCTTTTGATGTTTTTATTTTTTCTTGGTTCCCACAGCTGTTGCTTCTTTGAGGTTTGGTGAGGAAACTATATATAATTTATATTTGGCAGAAGGAATTAATACAACAAAACAAAAAACGAAAGACAGGAATGTCTCCAAAGCATAAAACATAGTCAAAATGAACTTTATATATTAATTAAACCAATAATTTATGAGGATTACATCACACTCAAATTTATTTGATGCATGGAATATCAAATGCCAAGCCCACATAGTGGGCGCCATAGCCTGGCATCATGTCTCACATAACATGAAAATTGATTAAAAGGGAAAAAGCACACACAACGATATTATTTATTGGCAATAAGAGCTAGAAGGAAGTGTAGCAGCTGATCATTTAATGGAAGAGCACGTCTGGAATGTCCTCATCATGGCAGCAAAGGAAAGTGGAGAACCTCTCCATGGTGCGGTGACACTCAGGGCATTTCATGGTCTCAGGGATCCTACCAGCAGTCATTGGGAAATCGAAGCGGCAGCAAGGGTGAGCAATGCCATGGAGCTTGCCATGGTGCTCTTGGAAGGCCAAATCAAAGCCCTTGACAGGGACATTCTCCTTCCATAAGTCATACTCAAGCAGTGTTGGCAAAACTGTGGTACCGTGACCATTGACCACAACCTCAGTCCCCTTGCTAAGCACAGCCCATCCACCCTCTCTGTCGTAGCTAAGCAGCTTCTTGATTTCTTGCATCATAGGATCATGTTCGTCAATCTTGCCAAGCTGAATCTTGGAGAACAGCATGCTCTCTAGCCTGGTCCAAAAGAACCATATCATGGTAAGGTCTTGCCAGGTGTAACTGAGCTTCTCTACCGTGATTGTCGCTATGACTCGCCGGACTTGCTCCCTTTTGCTGCTCTTCCCCACATAAACCATCTCTAGGGGAATACGGGCTGCCAACGCAACAGCACGTGCTGTGTTTGTGAACTTCCTGACCCATTCAACATCGTCCCCTCCGTACATGAAAATGTACTTTCCTTCCTTAATCTGATGATCAAGAAAATATTGCAGCAACTGTTAACACGAGTCTCGCTATATATATATATATATATATATATATATATATATATATATGCGCCCACGCACACACACAAGAGCATATTATAAGTGCGTTTAATGCATGTATATTTGAATTGATTCTAAAATTAATGAATTTACCCAATTAAGAATCACTGGGTCAATGCCATCAATCAGAAGCTCAAGCCTCCATGTCTCTTCCCTCCATAGAGATTCCTCTCTCAAGCTAGTGAAAGGAAAGGCATTGCTTCCCCAAATCCACATCATGTGGAGAGCATTAGGGGAAACCACCCTGCCTTGAGGGTCAAGCACCACAAGAATAGGCTTGTTCCTGAAGTGCCACACCTCCTTAATGAACCTAATGACTGCCTTCTCGATCAATGAAGGGTGGTACACTGTGAACCATGGCATTGAAGTCTGCAGGCTCTCAAATTTCTCTTTCATTGGTTCAGTCCACTGGATTGAGCGGTCCACAATTGGGATCCAGACCATCTCATACTGACTATCCATCCTAGTTCCGTGGTGCCTGGATTCATTGTATATCTGTTCAAGTATTGAAAGCTCGTCGCTCGAAATGTCTAGGCCCGAAATGAGCAATAACACATTCTTCCTTCTCAGCACTTCAAGATGGACCTGTTAAATTCAATAGCAAGCATCAGAAATAATCTGCATTAGCTTTATCGCATATTAGTACTGCATATGTAAATACAAGAAATGGTAGAAGAGCAAACCCTTCTCTTGGCAGTGCCATCTAGAAGTGGCTGGATGTCATCTTTGGCATAAATCAGGGCCTTGAGGATCTTCATGTTGTCAATGTGGATCATTTCAAAGAGATTCACAAGCATTTGAAAGGCTTCGACATTCCTCTTTTCATCTGCATACAACACCATTATTTTTATAAGTGTTTTCGATCCTTTGTACATTAATTTCCTGTTTTCTTATTACCTATCCAACACATGTTAGCATAATTATACAAAAGTTGCTAAGGGCAGACCTATGTGTTGATAGCAAGTAGCCAATTGCTTCCTGAGATGCTCAAGTATGTTGGTGAGTTTGTGAGCCAAGGTGGATAGCTCCCATGCCTCAGTGGTTGATATTGTATACCTAAAATAAGTGAATTAAAGAGATTATTACAATAATACAAGATGTAAAACAAGGCTTAATAAATTAAACATAGTGGAATAGAAAAGCATACTCATGTCCCATGGTAGTGAGGCTCGTAATCTGAGCCGCACAAGCCACGACACTCCTTATGGTCCAGTAGACAGCAGTAGGGATAAGAGCCACGGCTGTGGACAATGCTGGTACCTCACTAGAAATGTAAGAAGGTGGTAGATCCTTGAACTCAACCACGCACTTAGTCACGTCCATCATGACCTTGATCAGATTGTTAAGGGCATCAAAGCGAGGCTTCAGGGGCCCTGAATGCTCCAGGATGCTAGGCAATTGCTTGAGGATTGCCATGGATTTGGCAAGTTGGTTTGATGAGTAAATCTGGGCAAGCAGCCAGAACTCTCCGTAATTCAAAGCGAAAGCTGCCAAGGTGAGCACCAGCTTGGCATCCCAGGAATAGCTCGCTAGCATACGGAAAAGCTCGACAGTTGTTGCGTGGGCATCTGTCCCACCGAGTGCCTTATAGGCAATCTGCAGCAAAAATTAAATTGGAAAAATTTTTAAAAAAAAAAGAAAAAGAAAAAGAAAAAGAAAATCATTAATTCTTTAGCTGTTGCCGATTTATCGTAGTATTAAAATTGAAATATATAATTGTATAACCTCGCAGGAAATTCTGTCTATAGTATACGACAGTGCATCCAGCATGGCAACGAAATTGATTTGGTGGGTCTTGTCCTCCATTTCAGCATTGACTTGGGAAGTCTGCATTATATATATCAGAAGTGATCAGGGACCGGGGAAAAAAACAGATTTAAGTTGATATATATTTTTTAGCTAGTTGCACGATACTTGAGACTTTATAAATTTAGTAAGGCTGACAATGTTTATACAGTTTAATTTCCAAGTACGAGTTTAGTTCTATACCGTCAGAGAGGTATCAGGTTGCACTTGCAGGGTGGCATGTTTGAGGATGTCTTCAACAAGGTGGAGAAGAGGTTTAACATCAACCTCTCGGCCATCAGGAGCATGAATTGCTACAATTTGTTTCATCATCACATTGTCATCAGACATTGTCAACATGCTGCCGCGATCACTCCTGATCAGTTGCTGACTAGAAGCTGGGGGTTGGGGCCTGAGGGGAAGGCCGGATGCCATCGGGAGCTAATTGTAGGCAAAGGAAACTTGAGGGTTATGAGGCAGAAGTAGAGAAGATTGGCTTGTGTGTCTTTGTTGCATATTTGGCATGCCTATTTATAGTATCAGAAATGGAATAAAGCTCACTTGAATCAACTTCCTTGCTTCCATGGTAATCAAGATCTTACGAACGTTAAAGAGAAGGAACGCTGTCCTTTTGTGGTCCCCATGTCTGCCCTACTTCCTCCTTACTTTTTATAACAAGGATTTTACCATACAAATCTGATTCAACACTGCATTACAATGATGGGTTTTGAATCTTTTCTTCTTTTGTATTTATCTATGTATTTTTTTCTAGCAAATTTGGGACCTCAATTCCAAATTCCCTATTCACAATACTTAATAAACGTAATCAAGTAGGTTAGTGGTACATTTACTCTTTGAATTTTTTACATTTTCATAATGTTGTTCCACTACTATTTTTTTTTTTTTGTTTTTTTTTTGGTTCTTTTAACTCAAGAAGATATTTAATATGATATTTACATCTGTTTTTTTTTTTTAAATCTTATTTATCATTCAATTCTAATTATGTTAAAAAAAAAAAAAATGAAGTGTCATGTATCCTATAGAGTTATGGAATAAACAAAAAAATTTTCTCTATCTATAGTTTTCAAGATCATACCGTTGAATCAACTAATCATATATAAACATAAATCAAATTAAAGTGAGAGATTACTTCTTATAGTGCAGTAAACAATTCAAGTAGAAAGAAACCATCCAAGTATCCGAACTCAATTGATTTTCACGTAGCTCAAACACCCACACAAGAAGCAATAGAAATCATCGTATGCTAGCTTCATTATTCCGTATACAAATTTTTTCTCAAGAAATCTAAGTAGGGTTTTTTGCACCAACTTGTTTTTTTTTTAGAGGGTGTGGCAATTTTTGCCTTTTTTTGGAAAACTTTTATTTTAGGTTGTTTTTCCTTTTATGTCGTGTCTCTTTTGTTTTTGTTTTTGTTTTTTTTTCCTTGTTTTAGTTGTGTCTCTCCCTTCCCTCTCCTATTTATATAAGTGGTGGCATCCTTGTCCTCCAAAGACAAGGAGTTACAACATGTATAGGTTTGTTTGATCTTAACCATATAAACTCTAAGCCTTATTTAATAGTGCTCAAGTTTATCCTTCAATCAAAATATCTTTCAAACTTTTAAATTACACCTATTGGCCAAAATTCTTTTGGTTAATTAATTATTAATTAATTTGGATCATCCAAATAAATTGGACAAAGTATTTTAGTGGGTCTCACATTAGAAATCAAAATTTCAAATTACATTTAAACCTAAATTAGGAAATTGATTTCCTTTTTTAGTTAATTATCTTTCATATTTGGAACTAACTTCCAAACGAAAAAAATTATTTCTAAAATAGAAAACTAACTTTCCACTTTAGGGAGCTATCTAAAATAGGAAACCTTCCAAAACAAAAAACTTTTCAAAATATGAAACTTTTTCCAATAACTTTTGCTTCTCTTTTATCGTATGAATGTTTAAGTTTATACGTGTGAGTCAATAGACTCCTAGATATGTTGACAATGTATCAAGAAGATAAAAGACACCTCTTTTATCTCTTGATATATAAATAAAGATTGACTTATAGTAAAACATCATGACTATCCAATTTTCTAAAAGGATTAATTAATTCATAATTACCATTCATGGGAATGGTTTTCATATAATTTAGTCTTCATATCAATTTATCACACTATGATCTCGAATTCGATTTATAGTTTGTTTGATTATGATCATATAATTTTTCTTCGATCTTCAAATGTCTTAGCATATAAGTAAACCAATTATGCTCTATTGGTATACTTTCACTATGGCTACGATTTCTTGAGCAAACATTCATCAAAGTGCACTCGTGATAATTCTTTCGGTATATAAAGAATGATATGTCCTATCTCAATCATCTACATATCTCCATTAGATTCCTAATGCATCCAACAAATCACCCACATATAGCTCTTTACTCGATTCCATGGAAACAAATGTTAATGTATACTAATCTTCTAATAAGATAACCATGATGATTTCAAGTCAAATGACTAGTTATATCCATCTCATATGAGATTCTCATAGACTAAAACAAATAGGTGTTCATGACGAGTCACGTTCAATGATATATGTTCTTTAACATTTCTCACTTAAATGCTTGCTTTGGCATCACCATACCAACAAATGTGAGATCTCCTATTGCTATCTAATAGCAATAGCATAACACTTACAAGTTTTATCGCATGTTGTGAATGTTCAATTTTAACAATACTACGGCTTGAGATTTTTAATGATATTATTTAAATGTATTAATGTTTGTCTCACATCAATTTATTAATTATTAATGTGATACATATCATATAGATTTCTATCTAATTCTATCAAATTATAAACAAGAAGAATTAATTGAAAGACTTGTTTTATTAATATAAAAAATATAATAATACAATAAATCAAAGCATTCAAAAAGATTGAATCTTGGCCATCTACACTACCAAAATAGAGATTTGTCTAGCACATGCTAGGCCATATATATATCAAGAATTAACGAGTAAATTAGAAAAAAGCTTTGGATGGAGGGACCATACTAAAAAAAAAAATGAATAGAAGGACTAATTGTATAGATTTGGAGGGTTTAATGGTACTTTTGCTCAAGAATTATTGAATTAGTGGTTAATGCACATCGAAGGCTATAATATCAATTTAGTCAATTTTAACCTCGAATTATAATGTTTTGAGCAAAATTTCCCTCTGTTTGATTTGAATATTATTATAGAAAAAAAAACCCTTTTTAAAACATAATTTTTAATAGTTTTAGATGAAATTTTTTACATATGCTAATAAAATTCAATCTGCTTTCTAAAATAGTTTCGAAAACTTTTTAATGTCATAATCATTTTTAAATTTTTCTTAAGCATCAATTGCTGAAAAAATAAAAAAATAAAAAAAATAATTTGGAATGATTTCAAATTTTATTGGGAGGCCTTAAAAAAACACAAAATTTATATCTTTAATTTTATTATGATTCTCAATTATTTATATAGTTAAATACGTAACACCAAATCAAGTTTAAAATAGATCAACTTTGATAATCACATATGTAAAAATTACCTATTTAAATTCAAATGATATCTTTAGAGCATGCACATATATATAAAGAAGGCATAATTCCATCTTTTTTTATTGAATTTTTATTTTTTAAAATAATTTTGAATTAAAAATATATTTTTAAATTATTTATGAAAATGAATTAAATTTTAATCTATGAAAATTTTCAGTTGAAAATATCAAATTTTGATTTTTTTTTTTTTAACAAAGTTTTTTGGTCGAGACAAATGATCAAATGAAATGGAGAAACAATATTTACCAAAAATATGATAATCTAAGATCAAAATTGACCAAATTAATAGCGTAAGTCTCAATTTGCCGCAATTCTAACAGTTAAAGTGGCAAAATATGCTGTTTATCTATCCCACAAATAAAAAAAGATAAAATATTAATTTAACAAATATAGTCCAACTTGAAACAGAGAATATACAGTATCATCAGGAGATTCTAGTGATCTTGGCCGTCAAAATGTAGGACCACGGGAAACTTGGTGATAGGCCAATCGATCCTGTGCTTGGCTTCCTTACTTGACACCTTTTTAGACGTGTGCTAATGATTGAGAATTTTCTTTTTCGTGAGACAGAGACTGAACAGAAAAAGAACAAGATATGATTCCTTGCTTTTTTGCAGGTAAACCAGAAATTTGATTTAGCAAACAAAGCAAATCTAGCAAGAAACAACAAAAATATGCTTGCTGCAATTTGTCTCTGTCCTGTGACCGCCATTTTAAACAATACATAAAAGAGTACCTAACTTTACTTGGTTCAGATCCAGTCTAAGGCCCGTTAACTCTGGAATAAGTGATTCTAATTTCCTTACATCATAAAAACTATAAAAATGACAGACACAAAGTTTATCAAATTAAAGGAAGATTGGAGATAATTTTATTTTATTTTATTTTTGAGTAAAATGCATAACTACGGTTAACATCAAATTTGTACCTCATTTATTTATGAATTTTAAACAAAATAATAATAATAATAATAAATAAATGATGGTGTGACGTACAATCAACAAATTAATTAATTATTTATTTTTCTCATGAAACCCAACCACAAGAGTGTAGATAGGGTAAGCAAGGGTCGAATATAGAGAAAAGTGACCAAATCAACGGTTTCTATTGTCTAATTATTCCGTAGAGCAAACAAAGTAAATGAGGATTTGTGTTTATTGTGATTTGTAAACAATCAAATGTAAATTTAAATAACGAGTAATGAGAAAGGCCTTCGTTGAAGTTCAATATTCACTTCTAATTTAGCCATTGATCATTGATTTAATTATGAATCTATCATTAATATGAGTATTCATCGTAGGACAACAATATGTATATTGTCCCCAATCTTTCCTTAGTGATTTATTAACCAAATAGACGCTGCTTGATTAACTTCCTAACTATTGAACAACCTATTAGACGCTTAATATATTTAATCCAATAACGAGCATTAAAGTAAAGAAACACATGTAAAGCTAAACCACCTTCCTAGATGCTAGAAAGATGTAATCTAGTTTTATGTTTCTTAAGAGATTAAACGAAAACCCATTTATAATCATTAACCCTTAGTTACTACCAAATGTAAGTTTAGACAAACAATTACACGGACTTGAATACTTAGCTAGTAATAAATTAAGAGATTGAGATGATCAAGCAATTAAGGTGCACTCCAATCAATTAATCATACAACCATAACCAAATCATGCAAAAAAGCATAAAATACTTTATAAGGATAAGTTTAGAATTAAAACCCGCCGATATTGCACAATGATTTAAATAAAAGCTTCAACTTTCTTTAACCAAGATAGGTGTTTAGTTGTTCATAGCTGATTATAATGGAGAATTTTCTATCTATGGTGGTCGTTAAAA